CTTCCCCTTTCCCACCTTCAAAGGAGGCGTCTGTTTGCGCTGTTGGTTGGCAGCATGGATGGTGGAAAAAGGCAAGGCTTTGGTGAGCAGCGAGGTGGAGAGCGTGTTGTGGGGTGAAGGTGGCGTGAGTGTTGTCGCGGTCAAGACGGTGTGTGGGAGGGGCGAGAGAGCACGTTGCACACCCACCACTCGCAGCCACTGAGAGGAGAGGGAAACACGTCTGCATGCACTGCATCCACCAGACGCAGCACGAAGCGAGTGGTGGCTGGTGAGAGTTGGTTGGGGGTAGGGGTGGGGGGTGGGGGAGGGCGTACTCCACCAAACCTGTGCCAATATCTCAACTCCTACACTTAGATGGCAGAGGAGGCGAGGCGAGACGAGGCGAGATGAGGCGAGGCGAGGTGAGGTGTGGTGTGGTGTGGGGAGGGGAGTGGAGAGATGGAGGGAGGGAGGGAGGGTAAAAGGCAAATGAAAGGAGATGGAATGAGAGTGAAGTGGGAGGGTGATTTGGAATAGCGTAGAGCATTTTTGGTAGTGGGAGATAGGCAGCATCGCATGCGGTGTGAGGTGGTGCAATTCGACGCCACTTGTATAAAACCACATCGCACATAAATACCGCCCGAGACAAGCAGTGCACAGGCAGTCGACACGCTCTCCTCTCGCCTCCTCCACGCCACCTTTGGCTAAACAATAGCAGTGGTGGGGAGGTGGGAGGATGGAGTGGCATGCAGGTGGAGGAGTTGGATGAATGGAGGAGAGTGGAAGGAGGGGGGAAGAGATGGAGGTGGATGACCGACTTGATGGGTGTGTGCACCGTGACAATCGCCAATGCTACGTCGTCTGCATTGTTCCAGTGCAGCTTTGGATGGGGGTTGGAGAGGATGCGAATGCTCTGCATTGCGTTGTGTTGATGTCACTTTGCCGTGGTGGACGACTAAGCGTAAACGCCTACCACATGATTAACGGCATCCGGCCACACTTCACACCTCTCAAATCCGCCCATCACACCTCTCGTGGGTCTACTTTCCCTCGACCCTCATCACTCGCACCATCACTGAGAGGATGAATGTGCTCGCCTCGTGAGTGGTTGGCGAATTGACGATGTCGTCGTCGTTGACGACGGCGACGATGGTGATGATGATCACAATGCTGGTGTCGATTATGCTGGCACGACGA